ACCGTTTAGTTTGTATCAACGATACCTGACCGTGTGTTTAATTACAACTAATAAAGGCTCGTATTGACGGGGCGGTCTCTACAAAATTACATATGACTGTGTACGCAACAAAGTCCTATTATCGTAAAAATGAAAATAATGATGTTTAAAGGGCGAATGGAACGATAGATTGCCTAGTGAGTACGTTCTGAATGGGAAGTATACCGTAATCGATTAGAAACTGTAAACTATTTGTCAATCGATAGGTACTTGTTTGTTGCTGGCAAAATTGTTAATGTACAGTTATACGGATTCCACCGACGCTTCCGTAGAAGTCTACGGAGAGCGTTTATATTTTAGAGCGACAAACGACCGCGTACAGACTAGTGTGCGATTATTATGCGTATCGCCATTAAAAACCTTAAAAATACCACGGCTGGAACTTCTCGCTGCATTACTTTTGGCTCGATTAATGTCAAGCTACGCACCCAATCTTCAAATCACAATCAATGAAAAATATTATTGGTGTGACTCACAAGTGGTATTGGCTAGGATAGTCGCACCATCATCTCGTTGAAAAACTTTTGTTGGTCATGGACTGAGTGAAATACAAGAAATAATTAATGTTTATCAGTGGCATTACATTGGGTCGATAGACAACCCGGCTGATATTGTATCTAGTAATGTGCAAATTCCCAGGAATTTTATGATGGGAAATCCCTTGAGAAATTTTCCGGAGCATTCCTTATACTGGGAATTTATCGGGAATATTATAATTTTATTAAATTTTGTTTCAATATTTAACTAAACTTATAACTGTAAATGGTCCATGGCCTATATTTTATACACAAAAATATTATTGGAGAAATGTAAGACATTTGTGTAACAATTAGTAGAATTATTCTAAAAATATTTTATTTGATTAGGATTTAGGTACCTATAAATTTATCAATATAATGAAATTATGTACTAAAGGTTCAGTTGTTGATGCAAAGAATTGACTATAAGTAATTATTTAAACTGCTTGTATATATTTACATTAAACTAAATATGAAATTTTATGTTGAAACATTAGGAATTTTAAATATTTTATAACTAATTATAATTTTTGATTCTGTTATACTTTTCACTGTTTATATTTCAAATTAACTGTATGCTATGAATCATTTTATAGGCATCATAGTCTATGATGCCTATAAAATGCTTAAACAAGTTACGAAATTTAATACGTTATTTTTTGTTCACATTTTCCAGGTTTTTCAAAAGTAATAAAAGCAAAGGATAACTTTATTAACATAAATGTTTACTTATAAATGTAAATAACAACAAGATAACTTATTTCTTTTTGTTTTAAATACTCATTAAAGAAATCATTGTCACTGTCACTAGGACACCACTCTTCATCGTCGGACGAAATTAAACCATCAATTGACATTGAATTTTCATCTGACACAATTGATATATTAAGTGTATTTTTATCCATTTCATTAGGTTCACGGGGTTCGCCTTCATAATTAACATAAGTAACTTTTTTATTCTATTCTATATTTTGTCTCCAATAATGGGCAACAAAAGTTATTTTTGAAGCATTTGATGTTGTTAAACGGTTCCTTTTTTTGTGTGAATATTTGAGAATGTGCTAAATGAACGTTCAGTGGCTGCTAATGTAGCAGGAACAATTAATATTTTTTTTGCAATAATACATAAATGAGTACTTGAACAAAAACTATTCCACCATGTTAAAGGACTTATTTTCTCCACACATTTCCAAATAAAATTATTGCTCCATATATCTTGTCGAGATCTGTAATTTGCTATATCAGCTGTATTTGAGCACCATCCATTTTAAGAGAATCAGTCATATTATTTTGTATAGATATCATTTGATCAATAAACTCAATAGCTTTTAATACTTCTGAATTTGATAAATTACACCCTTGAGTTTTGGGATCCAACAAAGATGCAGCTAAGTGTAGAGGTTTAATAGTATTTNTTCAGCCAAGTGTAGAGGTTTAATAGTATTTAAATGTCTTTCTTTAAACTTATTCAGTATTATTTGCACTTTTTTAGTAGAAATAATCAGTGATTCTGAGATATAACTACAAAAAGTATTTTGAATTTCATAAAAAGCATCAAATACATGATTAATTATATTGCTGTCCCCTTCTAAAATTGTAATCCATTTTACAATAGGGTTAAGTAAATTAATAAGTTTATCGATTTTAGTCCAAAATACAGCATCATCTAAAATTAATTTGTTTCTGTTTATTCCTATCATAGAAGAGCCAACAGCATGAACAGCTAATGTTTGTAATGATAATTTACATTCTTTCATTGAAGTTAACTAGTCTTTCGTTAAAATAAGATCAACAATTCGAATATTTTTATCTGCCGGTATTTTAAAAGTATTTTGAAAAGTAAAATAACAAATAAAATAACTGTGAAAAACGATACTACTATAATCAATTTTAATCTAAGCCCTAATATATTGCTTATCAATAATATGTTGATAAACATATCAGTGTAATCAAGATATAAATACAATAACGTTGTCTCTTTCACTAGCACTGCCATACTTTAGTAATTATAATAAATAAAATGTATTAGTTCTTATTAAAGAAATATTCCCGAGTGGTANACAATGTATTAGTTGTTATTAAAGAAATATTCCCGAGTGGTAATAGAATATTTCCGGAATATTCTTCATTCCCAGGAACGTTCCCTGGGGAATATTTCTTGTGGCACATCACTAATTGTATCACAGAGATGCGATCCAACTAAAATGGAGAAAATCTACTTTGGTGTTATCGACCAGACTTTCTACTTAAATGCTCAATATTTTTGTCTGTAGTAAAGTATAATATTAGTCAAATACAACCAGATTCAATTATAAAAAAACGTAAGCAGCACAACCCGGTGTTATTTCAATTGTCGAATATGATATTTTAGTAAAACCAATACCTTCTCAGCTTCGCATCGAAGCTAAAAAACGTAAGCAGCACAACCCGGTGTTATTTCAATTGTCGAATATGATATTTCTTTATTCAGTTGATATTCGCGTTTAAGTAAATTATTACGGTTAGGGAGGGGCGTATTTTCGCCGTTGGCGTTTATATAGTAATATAGTACTGTCAGCATCACGTTATCGTAAATCAAACATGTAGGCCTATTTGATTAAATGAGATAAATAATAATTGCACAATGAAATCAGTACGTTGAAAAAACTAGGCGAAATAAGCAGCAAAAGTAAATTACTAAAACTGAGTCCATTTTTGAACATATCACACTTGATATTCTTCGTAAAAATCCTATGCTACTTTCAGCAAAATGTCCGTTTACTAAACTTATATTTGTACAACTCATGTAGAGACAGTTCATGGAGGACCATGCAAATATACCTGTTGTGAGATGAGCGGGAATATTATTATAAAATAAATTTTAATCGTACGCTAAGATATGTATAAATTTATTATTAATAACATAATATTCATAAATCAAAGACAGTGATATAATTATTAATTTATTTCGTAAATTAAAGATAAAAATATAGGCGATAGACACTATTTACACCAGCGGTATACCAATATATATATGCCGTAACAATATCCAATCAATAGAGAATAATAATTAGTTAATTTCATATATTTAATATGTTACGAATAAATTTAATTCTATTAACAATATATTTGAATACAATTGAATTTATTCTAGTAAAATTATGAATTATATTAATATTGCTTAAATTGCGTTTTAGATCACTATGCAAAATATGGTTTTCATGCCCCTGAATATTCCAGTATTAAAAAAGTCTTAGGGGAGGGGGGTATTTTCGCCGTTGGCGTTTATATAGTAATATAGTACTGTCAGCATCACGTTATCGTAAATCAAACATGTAGTCCTATTTGATTAAATGAGATAAATAATAATTGCACAATGAAATCAGTACATTGAAAAAACTAGGCGAAATAAGCAGCAAAAGTAAATTACTAAAACTGAGTCCATTTTTGAACATAAGAGGTTTCGTCTGAGTAGGCAGTACACTCAAGAACGCTATCACACTTGATAATCTTTGTAAAAATCCTATGCTACTTTCAGCAAAATGTCCGTTTACTAAACTTATATTTGTACAACTCATGTAGAGACAGTTCATGGAGGACCATGCAAATATACCTGTTGTGAGATGAGCGGGAATATTATTATAAAATAAATTTTAATCGTACGCTAAGATATGTATAAATTTATTATTAATAACATAATATTCATAAATCAAAGACAGTGATATAATTATTAATTTATTTCGTAACTTAAAGAACGGCAATTTACTAATATTAAAGATAAAAATATAGGCGATAGACACTATTTACACCAGCGGTATACCAATATATATATGCCGTAACAATATCCAATCAATAGAGAATAATAATTAGTTAATTTCATATATTTAATATGTTATGAATAAATTTAATTCTATTAACAATATATTTGAATACAATTGAATTTATTCTAGTAAAATTATGAATTATATTAATATTGCTTAAATTGCGTTTTAGATCACTATGCAAAATATGGTTTTCATGCCCCTGAATATTCCAGTATTAAAAAAGTCTTAGGGGAGGGGGGTATTTTCGCCGTTGGCGTTTATATAGTAATATAGTACTGTCAGCATCACGTTATCGTAAATCAAACATGTAGTCCTATTTGATTAAATGAGATAAATAATAATTGCACAATGAAATCAGTACATTGAAAAAACTAGGCGAAATAAGCAGCAAAAGTAAATTACTAAAACTGAGTCCATTTTTGAACATAAGAGGTTTCGTCTGAGTAGGCAGTACACTCAAGAACGCTATCACACTTGATAATCTTTGTAAAAATCCTATGCTACTTTCAGCAAAATGTCCGTTTACTAAACTTATATTTGTACAACTCATGTAGAGACAGTTCATGGAGGACCATGCAAATATACCTGTTGTGAGATGAGCGGGAATATTATTATAAAATAAATTTTAATCGTACGCTAAGATATGTATAAATTTATTATTAATAACATAATATTCATAAATCAAAGACAGTGATATAATTATTAATTTATTTCGTAACTTAAAGAACGGCAATTTACTAATATTAAAGATAAAAATATAGGCGATAGACACTATTTACACCAGCGGTATACCAATATATATATGCCGTAACAATATCCAATCAATAGAGAATAATAATTAGTTAATTTCATATATTTAATATGTTACGAATAAATTTAATTCTATTAACAATTTATTTGAATACAATTGAATTTATTTTAATAAAATTATGAATTATATTAATATTGCTTAAATTGCGTTTTAGATCACTATGCAAAATATGGTTTCCATGTCCTTGAATATTCCAGAATTAAAAAAGTCTTGGGGTTTTTTTATATATTCAATAAACAAAAAAATAACTATTAGTTAAATGAATATATTTTAAGAAAGAAACAAATAAATTAAATGCAAAATTATTCGAATGAAATTAAAAAAAAAAAAATTATATTTATATTATTTTTATTTTATTAAAACCTAAATTCTCATAAGTTTCTTTATTAATCTTCTCAATAAAGTTATTGAAAATCACATACATGGTTTTATGAATATCGGTGTATTCATTAAAAAAATTAATATTAATTAAGTTATAAAATTTTATCATCAAATCATACAAATCAGAATCCTTTTCAATTACACAATACTTCATCTGATATTGAGATGTATGAAAGAATTTAGTTGATAAATCTTTTGTAAACATTTTTATGTCTTCGAGAAATTCTTTTGGTTCAGAATACGTAATTTGCCCAATGAAAGAACTTGATGACCAATATTTCCTTCTCATATTATAAATAAAATTTCTACAAAATTCTATTTGTAACTCTATATTTGTTGCGGTATTGCGTTTTTCATTACTAACTTTCGTATATCTCAATGTCATCAAAGCAAATAACATATTTTTAAACATTTCATCAGATTTTACCATAATATCGAAAAGCGTAGTTGCACAGCTATTTTTATTTTCGTCTTGACAAACTTTATTAATACATTCTAACATACTAATAAAATATTGAAATATTTCAATACAACGGCATTTTAAAAACTCTATAGTGCAAGTCCGTATGTATGAATAATTAATGCCATTAATTGGAACATTTAATTGATCAATATTTATTTGATTCCATTTACTGAATTTATTTTTCACATTTATATGCTTCCAAAGTTTCCAACCTTTATGAGATAATAGAATTTCATATAATTGTAAGCCAACACTTTTTACATACTTTGTATATGTATAATATGTAAACCTAAAATTAAAATAATTTACGGCAATTTAATAATAATATATTTTAATGCACATGATAAATTCTAAAAATTCAATATTTGAATATTCTTATGTTTCGTAAAAGTTACTATTGAAGTATAATTTTCTGTTAAGTATCAGTACTAGAAACTGACCATCCTATACTAGTGTAGTACAGGTTGACGTCTTGTCTATGTACTGGTCCATTAAAGGCGGTCAAAAAAAGATTCTCAAAAAGATTATTAGACTACTTGAAGAAGTATTAACTATAATACTAAATATATATCTAATTAAATTTCTTACAAACTAGAGAAGTAAGAAGTCTATGTAATTCATGAGCATATTTTAGTACAGAGTAATTCCTGAACTAATCCACATAAATATTTTCAAATATAAGTATATAATATATAAAAATGTGTATAATATAGAAATATATCTTAAAGTAAAGTTTTGTAATATACTTTATTATGGAAAAAAAAATTCGGACTTTATTTTGTCTTCACTTTAAAAATGGCTACCGAATGATATTTTTGTGTGAAAATTCTCGATTTTATATTTTACATTTTTTACTTTAAAATGCTATAACTTTTTAAAAAATGTATGGATCAATATAATTTTTTTTTATGGAAGCATGATGTCTTAAACTATACCAAATGATGGTATATTTTTTTTTAAATCTGATCGTTATAATATTTTTTGTTATTTATTTTCTTTTTATCGATATTTTAATACCATTTTAAAAGTGATCTTTTGATATTCTTTCAAACTATATTAAGGATAGAAACCAATTGAGGAGAGAGTAAGCAATAGAAGGTTGTAGAGGTGATAATAAAAAAACCCAGCACAGAGGGGTCGCAGTACATTGGTGACGTGGCATAGTTGGATTATGTATAATGATATCTGACAGTGATTAAAATCACTATCATAAAAAACGCTTCGATGCAAATCTATAGATAGTGTTTCTTTTAAAAAATTGGTAGATTATTCCAAATGCTACACGATTTCCTATATCCTTATTTATATCCTGATTACAAGTTTTACGATTTATAAGTGTAATATATGAATAAATATTTATTATAGCAGTTAAATATAGTATGAAATTGATATTTAGTAATTTTATTTTGTAATTTTTTACTAAAATCGTATTTTTAATTTTCGACTTTGAGGTCCGTTTCACTATAAAAACAAAATTAAATCCAAATTTTTTTTTTTTTTCATATTAAAGTGTTTTAATTTTTTAGTCTTTAAATCTCTAGGTGTAATTAAAAACTAATTTTAATTAAATAGAAATTATGTTTATTCTATTATACAAGAAAGCACACTTTACTTTTTATTTAAATTAAAAAACAACAACTTATTTATTATCAATGCTAACATTATAAAAGCAGTGTTACCACTGCAACATTAAAGTATATTACATGAGCTCCAATTAAAAATATATATAGAAGTGTCAGTATTTCCGGAACACTTTCAAAAATTAGGTTGAAAAGTCATTTTTACAAAAAATTCAGGTAAAATTTATAAAAAAAATATGTAAAATGATATTTTAATCCAATCTTAAAAATCTTTAAAAAAAATTTAATTTTTTTGATAATTTTTAAAAAAGTTATGGCTGTTTAAAATGTCAAAAAGTAGCGATTTTTAAAATTGTAATTTTTTCGGAGGTTTCCCCCATTTACGAGGAACGAGGGAAATTTTTTCGATTTTAGAGGGTAATATATTCGACTATTTACGATTTGTGATCTTTTGACGTATTGTTGAAAGAAATCGGTTCGGTGAGAGCTGAGAAAAAGTGGTAACAAACACACAAAAATAAAACACATCATAGTGAAATTAATACCTTCTCAACTTTGCATCGAAGCTAAAATAATATAAAACTTTAATATTTTTGAAAATATTTCATGTGGCGTAGTCATTCATTCTGTAAAGTATTAGTCATTCTAAATATTTAAAAGTATTACTATATTATATATAAACATTACTTGAATGAATTAGTTCCAATTATTTTTTCAAAGCCAAGGTTTAAAAAATTATTTTCAATTACTTTAGCCATATAAGAACTGACTTCATTGTATATAATGTCGACATAATCATATAAATTATTTACTGATTTATTAATTTGGTCTATGTTCAATACAGTTACTAAATCAGTTGAAATTGTATTTTTATGATCTGGACCACAAACTTTTCTAGTTTCATAAAGATAAAGTATCGTGTTTTCTGTTTCATTGTAAAGTTCATTTATTTGTTCGAATAAATCGAAAATGTAGTATTTTTTTTGTGTGATACTATAGTCAGAATACTGCTGAACTATCTTAGTTGCATTATTGTAAAACAATTCAATTTCATATTCAATGCATTTTGGATTGATTAAAGAAGAGTTTATTATTCTTAAATCTATTTGGTTAATGTATCTTGCCGCATCTAACATTTTCGAAAACGTCGTTATTGAGCTTTTAAAAATGCCAAGTATCCGATTTAGACAGTGTCCTAATTGGTCCATTTGATTGTTATATTTTTCCTCTTGGCATTTATCCAAAATTACGCCTAACCTAACATTAAATTTTTCCATTACAAAAGTATATTGACAATTTAGTAGATGAGTTATGCATGACATTTTTTCTAAATAATTATCTTTATTGACAGAGTCTTTAGTTATACAGGAGGTGTTTATTGCACATTCAAATTGTTGAAATTGTAAGTGTTCCATTGTTTTCCATCCAGATTGTTTACAAATATGATCTAAAGAAGAAATTAAATATGATTTGAAATTTTCTTTATTGATTTCTTGAAGGCTTGTCTGGGGGAATACCTCAGACAAATACCAAAAATTAATTGACATAAATAAAAAATATTTCTTGATCATTTTTAAATATAAATTTTTTATAAAAATATAATTAATTTAGTATAGTGTAATTTAATGTATTATTATATTAACGTTAAAAACTTTTGATGTGTGATCTTTATATGTTTTAAAATGTTTGTACAATATAGTATTTTCATAAAGTTTATTAAAAAAACTTGTGTAAATTCAAATTATTAAATTTATTACTTGTAATTCTGTTATACAAATGGTATTTTTAATGCTCATAAATATACTCTAGCATTATTTATTAAGCTTAAACTAATTTTATTTGCATACACATAATAATAAAATTCATAGTGTAACATAAATTAATCTAAATTTAGGAATAGTCCAAAATATTGGGGATAGTAAAGTTGATATAAGGACTTGTTGATTTAAAAAAATATAGTTATGATTGCTAAATTTTTATAAAAAATGTTTAAATATATCACCAAACAAAGATCGAATTTTATAAAAAAAATTTAAATTTAAATATTTGTTATAAATTGCTTTCATACATTATTTGGAAGAAAAATTAGTATAGGTGTTGTTTACGGCATATGGTTTCAAATAAAGATTATTAATATATTATTAATAAAGATAAAAAATTATTTTTTTGCAATTCTTAAATTTAACACAAATAAATTAAAAATTTTTAGTCTTACTTAATTTAAGAAAGTAGTGATAAATCAGAATAACATGTACCTAAAAGTAAACAAATTCTGATTATTTTTTTCAATTAATCAAGTGGTTTATAATAAGTTAATTCTCCTACATTTTCTAATATATATCTAATATATATCTTGACGGATTCGAATAAAAAAAATGTTTCTTCGAGGTTTTTAACTATCTGTTATGTGTCTGGGTTCCGAGATAGAATAGGCCAAATAGTATTCAGTTGTTGTTGTTAAAAGCGATTAAAAAAGAGTGCAGCTTTCTTAATATTGGCTGAAAGTAGAGAACTTAATGTTCGGTATAGTTGCATACCAAAAATTCCCGCAGGGGAATCCACAAGGATTACGGGCCTAGCAACTCCGCGGACCCAAGTTATTTCAGTGGGGGTGGCTACACGTACACTGCTCTTAACCGGTCATGACTTTGGTTAATTGGGACCGGTAGGCATGGGCATACCTGCTTGCTAACAGCGAATAGGCCCCCCTAACCCAGCCATACCAAGTGAAATGGTTGCTAACTTGTCAAAGGGTATTTAGGCGAAAGGTAAAGTGACCATTGGGATCCTTTATGTCACTTGACGCACCATAGAGTATACAGCCTTATCACAGTATCGAGCTCTGCTGTGACGGACCTTTATTTCTCAAATTCTCGTGGGAACTATATGGATAAAAACATAGAAAAACCACAAAACAACGAACTTGTGACGATCTTCGCAGAAGAATCGCCGAACTTGAAGGTCTCAATGCCAACAACGGGACACTTGGTGAACCGTCCACTAGCAAAGAGACAGCAACGTCAGCAAATGTAGACCAGGAATCGCAAGATCAACTGGGAGCAGTAGCTGACAAAATCGAGGGTCTAAAACTTAGACCTGAGAAACTGAGTGGCAGTCAGAGGCGTAAGCTGAAGAGGAGCCGAGCAAACATGGAGGGACAGAAGAACCTACCAAAGGAGGGAGACAAGGGCACCGATGACTTGAAAAAGTCAAAGCATGTCAAAGAAAAAGTCAAAGAAACCGAAGCTCAAAAACCTGAGGACAAGGGTTAAGAACTTCCATGTAAGAAAACTCATTGGGTACCAACCTACACAGACGTGATAACCGATGATAAAAAAGTGGCTCTGTTCCTCACTGGCTACCCCACTAACATGTTGACCACAGAGCAGGGGCTACTTATTGAATCTTGTATTGGACACTTGATATTGTCGAGTACTGATGGAACCGACGTACCAAGGTTTGAAGACACCAGACTCACTGAAGGAGCACTTGTGATCAGTACAGCCCAAGAGAGCTCTCTTAAGTGGCTCACTGACCATGTCAACCTGATAAAACCTTGGGACGGTGCAGAACTCCATTTGGAAGCCTAGAACCCGATCAAGTACAAACGGATGGTCACTCATACACCAGGGCTGCCAAAAGAGTCCAAGAAGATCTTGGAAATTTTGGCAAAACAAAACCCAGGACTGAACACGGCGATCTGGAAAGTCCACCATGAGACAGAGGTTGGCCCGAAAGGACAAACTTTGTTTCTAAGTGTGGACGAAAACAGCATGGTCAAACTGGAAGAACTGAAACACAGTCCATATTTTGGAATGGGCAGAGTTTGCTTCACAGATTATGTTGCCAAGCAGCAACTAACCTTTTTTTTTTTTTTCTACGACCGGCATTATTGCGGACCGCCCTGGAACTACCGTGAGGTATTACTTCAGGGCGGCCCACGCCGTCTCTAAAACTCACACCACCACGTTAGCCGGATCCCGAAAAGTGGGATCCGTTGCCCGGGGGCAGGACTTTGCGAAGGGGGCAAAATAACTCAAAAAACATAAAGAAACATATAAACACGAATACCTATAGCGCCGGCCTAAACCAGCGCCTTAGGTCCTCCTGTACCGGGCGATGCGGCTGCCTCTGTCTCAGGCGTTCAGCTTCCTCCTTTTTTTTTAAGATGGATTCGGCGAACGCCTAGACGAGCCTCCACGCCTCCCGGCTCCTCAACATCAGGTCCACCATGGACCCGACTCGGAACGTGGACCCTAGTCGAGACTCCAAAGAGTCCCGTTCCTGGGCCCACGCCTCGCACCGGAAGAGATGCTTTACGAATACGATGTAAGTACTTGTTAAAGCACGATAAGTCATCTCACCATGAGTCCAGTCCACCCACCTGTCCAGCCGATCGGGTCCTATGAGGGACCTGGTCCACTCACCTCTCGTCGTTTCCTCCGAGAGGCGAGCCCGCCACCGGAGCATGGTCATCCGCCTGAGCGCTAGCTGGTCCTCGGGTTCGAGGGACCGGTTGCGTTCTCGTAAGAGATGACCCGATCGCTAAAGTACGACCGGATCATCCGCCCAAGGTAAGGAGACACCCAAAACGCGTCCAGCGCTCCTAGGATGTATGACCATCGCACGGAGTTGAACGCGTTTCGGATGTCCAAGCTCACCGTCACCCCGAAACCCTGCTCAGTTTTGGCTCTGAGGGCCAAGTCCCTGAAGAGGGAGGCCGCGTCGTCCGTCGACCACCCCCTCCGGAAGCCGAACTGGCCATCGGCTAGTCCGCCGACGTCGGCCAGGTGGGCTTCGATCCGGGTGACGAGCAGCCGCTCGAGTATCTTCCCCAAGTCGTCCAACATGCGAAGCGGTCGGTACGACGAGGGGAGACCCTCGGGCTTGTCACCCTTCCTCAGAAGCACCAGCCTGGCCTTCTTCCACTTCGTGGGGAATTCACCCTCCGAGAGGCAGCAGCAGCCACCAACCCGGAAGGATGTGAAAAAATCCACTCCTCAAAAATCTGGGAAGAGGACGGCTGAGGAATTACCAGTGCCACTCGGGAAAGGAGGTAAGGCACAGGTAAGGAACAAACGGACACACTTCACTCTTGCCTCGAAAGGAAGGTAGGAAGTGTGTTTCGTAAGGGTAAGGGACCCAGGAAACCGCTACCCTCAATAACGGCCACAGATGAGGGGAACCTCTCCACGGATCCAAAAGGAAATGTGGAGAACGAACCTAAGGCACGGTCGCCACCTGGGGTCGGCGGGGGACACCGCCCACAGGGGGGGCTGTGTGACACAGGGACTGTTTCAGACACCTGCATCACATCCAGTACAGCGTGCTTTCTTAAGCGTCAACATCAGTTTTTCTGAATGGCTGACAATAGAATTCAATTCACGCAAATAAACCTGCATCTCAGTAAAGGGGCCAGCAGTGTATTACTAAGGACCCTAACTGAGAGGCATACAATACCCTTACAAATAGCACTTATTCAGGAACCATGGATAAATGGGGACCAGATTAAGGGGCTAAATCTAAGGGATTTTAAACTGTTTCATAAACAAGCAAATAAACCAAGAACTTGCATTTTGGTTAATAATAAAGATAAAGCCAGTCTGATACTTAATCTATCAAGTGCAGACTTGACTATAATTAGAGTAACACTAAATGATGGTAAAAATATTATAGTAGCTTCAGGATACCTACTATATGAGGTCACAGACCCAGGTAGGGACCTAACTATGCTCTTTAATTATTGCAAAAATGAAAAATTAGAACTAATCCTAGGTATGGATGCTAATGCACACCACACTATTTGGGGGAGCAGTAACATCAACCAAAGAGGAGAGGTTATAATGGATCTATTGCTAACTACATACTTAAGTATACTGAACAGAGGTAGTGAACCTACTTTTGTTATCAGGAACAGGCAGGAAGTCATTGATCTAACAGTTTGTTCAAAAAGGTTACTTCAAAAGATAAAAGGGTGGAAAGTGTCCTCCGAACCTTCTCTTTCTGATCATAGGCACTTACGATTCACTTTGGAAATTAACAAAGTTGAGACGGAGTACTATAGGAACCCGAAAAGAACAAACTGGGACAAATACAGGGCAGATCTCTCTCGTGACCTGATTAACCTACAGTTTAGATTGGGGTCGAGACAGAGTACTGAAAGGGCTGTAAATATGCTACAGGACTCCATTGTCTCAGCTTACAAATAAAACTGTCCTTTAATAGAAAGGAAAGGTACAGGGCAGGGTGTAGCTTGGTGGAATGCTAACCTGTCTAAATTAAGAAAGAGTTCACGTAAGCTCTTAAATAAAGCAATGAAATCAGGTTTGGAACAACACTGGGAATCCTATGAGGACACCCAAAGGAACTAC